TTATCTGATTCCCTCTTGAAGCCGTCCATTGTGGGGTGGGGGGAGACCCTGGGGACTCCCCGCATTCACGCCCCATTGTTGCCGCACCCACAGGGCAAGCAGACGCCATTTCGTTGCTCCCCTGCTGGGTTTCTAGACTGGGACCGAATTCTACTGGAGAAGCAGCCGGGTGCTAGCCACAGCCCTGGAGGCAAGGAAGAAGTCCACAATACACACTTAAAGACAAAATTCTCTTTAGTGATGCACACAGGATTGGGGGGGGGGGAGCACCTTTTGGCAGTCGCAGGTAGGGAGTGGGTTACCAGACGCCTCTACACAGAATTGTGGGTCTCTCCCCCACCCCCACTTCCAACCTTTTGGACTGATCCACCACACCTGTCTGTGTTTTGACTGGCTGAAGCAAAGCAGGTGTCCTGGTTCCCCCCCCCCCCAGTTGAGATGTTCATTGCCGAGCCTTGGGTGGGGGGAAAGCTTTTCCCATGTAGGAACGGCAAAGGTTAGGGTTGGGGGGGAGAGAGAAAGGATCAGCCCCGCCCAACACATTGTGCTTCTCGCCGTTCTGAAGACCCGCAGTCCCCATAAGTCTGGGGCAATGTTCCTTCCAAGCTGAGTCAATGTGAGCTAGCTCACAGTTTTTCGCCTCACCCATTTTTGCCTTCGCTCAGGAAGGAGGGCTCCAGAGCAAACGAATTGATGCAGGAGCCAAACCACTCGCTCACAGCTTTCATGCCAGTCGCTCACAAAGTAGGATTTTTGTTCACAAGACTCTACAGCTTAGAGGGAGCCCTGGTCCGGAGGGGCCGGGAAGTGAGGCCCTCGGGGTCAGGAAAGGTGGGACAGCTTCCCCTCATTTCCCAAAAGACCCAATTCTGCCACCTGATCGGAGTCTTGAGTTTCTGCGCCGCACGCACGCTAAGGCTGGCCCAACTTCCAGGGCGGCTGCGCCACCAGGTCCGGCACGAAGACGGTTCAGGAAGCCCCCTCCTCCAGTGTAGGGCAACGGGGCCCAGCCAGCCCCGGACCACCACCTCCCGGTCTGCCAGACCCCCTTGCTCTTGCTCATCGACTAATTTTGGAGAGAGGTGTTAGACGCAGGGGATCGCGGCGCTCGCGGCCTTGTGGAAGCAGGGGGCGGGGCGGGGGACTCGAGACCGGAGGCCACGGAGGGCCAGTCCCCACCCCACCCCAAGTCGCTCAGGTCCACCAGGTGTCCAGCCGGCGGACTCTCACCCTCTGCTTGTAGTGGTACTCCTTCAGGTACTCCTTGAGGGCCCTGGGGATGGGCAACTGCCCGATGCCGTCGTAGGTGGTGCAGCCGGCGACCACGGCCCGGCAGAGGTGCTGCAGGCCGAAGGGGAAGGTGCGGTTCACCGGGACGGAGAGGAGCGGCTCGAAGAACATGCAGACGCTGGGGTCCTTGTAGTGCTCCAGCAGGCCGGTCACGGTGGGGGCGTGGAAGACGCTGGGGTCGTGGACGTCGAAGCTGAAGTTGTGGTTCCACTGCTCGATGCGGGCGTGGAGGGAGCGCCCGTAGCGGCGGAAGCTGACGGAGAAGAGGTAGTCCTCCTGGGCGGAGTCCCGCAGGAGGAAGGTGCCCTCCGGCTTCCCCTCCAGCAGGGCCTCGGCCTCGTAGCGGTCCATGACGCCCCAGTAGCAGGGCAGCCGGGTCAGCTCCCGCAAGTCGGGCACCAGGCAGTGGATGTAGTCGATCTGCGTGTGCACCCGCAGACCATCCCGGGCCTCCGGCGGCGCGGCGCTGGCCACCTCGGCCTCCTCTTCCTCCTCATCCCCTTCGTCCGCCGCCGCCAGCGCGGCCAGGCCTGCCCCTGCCAGCTCGTTCATGCCGTGCGCCAGCTTGGGCCCCAGCTTGTAGAGGGGGTTGATCTGCGCCGTGACCTCGAACGTGTGGATCAGCGCGTCTGGAGGGGGCTCCACCCCCTGCTCGATGCTGATGCGCCGCCGCTCCCGCAGGCGGTCGTCCTCGTCCTCCGGGGCCA